CCTCTAAATATTGCTCCGATCTGTTCTGCGTCCCGTCTGCTGGCATCGCTGCTAAACTAGCGTCTGCTCTCTCTGTTTTGTGGCAGGTTTCATCGGCCCTGAGGCGGTGCCTGGTTGTGGGGGTTCTGGATAGCCGCTAACTCGAGGCTCTCTCTTCCTGTCTCTTCGCCATGCTTCCTGCCGGGAGGCTAACAGACTCACTCCCTGCGGCAGCCGGCTCTTCTCTGGCATTTGCTGAACTTTGGTTCTTGCTTTCAGCCACTAGAGGGCTACATCGCGGCTAAAGATAGGCCTGGGATGCCATTGCGAACCGAAACGGAAAGAGAGGGTCCTTCAAACAAGATAAAGCAATGCAATGGTTCTGACACATTTTTTTTTCTTTTCATATCTGTAATGTTTTTGCACACACTAAGGACAAGACTTGCACTCTTTTAATTTAAAGTGTCCCTGATATTCTCTCAAGGTTAAGCACAGCAGTGTGAAAACATTGAAGCGCGTGCAGTGACTCATCAGTGGCTCGCATTGTTGCTGCGTGCAGCTCAGAGGATTTTTGTGTGCGGTTTGTTTTGTATATATTACATATTTCTTGCAGTATTCGTGCGGAGTCCAGTAATATCAATGAATATCCGTGCATGTGAAGAAAAAAAAAAACATTTTATAAGACTCATGTATCTGGTCCAGTGTATATTACATGGATATTGAGGTTTATTTGGGCATCGTGATGTCCAGATTTATTACTGCCATTATTTGTCTGTATCCAGATCAATACATCCTGAATATAACAGAATGTAATCAGATTTATGTTGTGCCTTGACAGTGTTATTTTTTTTTCCTCAAAAAAGTCTGATTACTTGATATATATATATGTGGTCATATTGTAACATATCTGTAACTTCTGTTCAGGAAGAGACTATCATCATATGTTTATGATACAATTTATGTTCATTTACCTTGTATTTTAGTTCCCCCCACATTATTTCCCAAAGTTCCAGCTAGCATCTCATTGATTTGGCTTTTAGGTTGTACATAAATTTGGTGGGTTTTATTGAGTACAGTGGTGTCGACCATATACAAGATGTGGCCAGCTATATAATGTAGTGAACCAGTAGTTTTAACTTAAATCGGAAAGGGCTTCTAGTCCATTCTTTTAGTCCATTATAGAACGTGTCTGTATTCCATTATTGCACATTTTGGTGCTCTATATAATATATGATTGTATGTCACAGGCAGAATTTGCTGGACGCTCCCTCATGTCCAGCTTTGAGTTTTTTGTTTTGTTTTGTTCGTGTAGTTAGAAATTGGGGAAACTTAAATTATTTAAAATCAATTGTACAGTCTGTATATGATATATGTGAATACATCTAGTATATTGCAGTATGTTGGCTTGGTTTCTTTCTCATTTAAAGATGGTGAAAACATTAACTTGCATTTATCATCTATGTTTTATTTAGGTCCTCAAACTTTCAAGTGTACATAAGAGAAACCCCCTCAGTCACTACTGGACAATTTTATTATATATATAATACTATACAACATTTATGCAGGTTTCAGTGCTGTTTAATCAAGGAAAACCCGTTAAGATGATTTTATTAAATGGATTAGTGGAGTATTGATTAGTACACATCTGAATTTCACAGTCCCTCGAGTTCCTATTTAAAGTTTGTCTATATATTCTTCATGTTTTAAAGCAGAAAACAAATAGAATCCTAAACTAAATAGAATACAATAGATCTACTAGTCATATTTTCAGTCTTTCTAATTACATTTTTTTCTTCTTCAGTGTTTCAGTGATTTTTATAATGAAATGGAACACTGACGAGAATTGTGTGGTTGTTCTTTTACCAAAAAGCATATCTTGAATATATAGAGCATACACATAATCTTGAAATCATGTACATTTTGTGTGTGTGTGTATATATGAAAATGTAAATGATTTTGAGCTATAAAATCAAAACGTATTGCTAGTATCCTTTGTTTCCTGTCCAATTATCTCGATTACATCTAAATGGTCTCAAATCACTGTTGCCTTCGTTTGTTATTGTGCTTCATGAAGATAATGGGCTGAGAATCCAAGCATCGTGAGTGCACTTGTTTTACAGAATGTTTGGGCAACGAATGAAATGACACAAGGACATCTGGGCTGGTTTTATTTCATGGTGCCGTCAACTACAGAACTGATTCTAGTCAAAACAAAGCCAAAGAATTCCTAATGAAGTGAGCAGGATTCATTATGATCTTTGATTCTTTATTAAGCAGAGAGCATAAATGTCATTATTCAGGTTTTGTAAGAATTTTAACATTCATATTGTATGATTTGGAAACATTTACCAGACATTTTATGCTGTAGATATTGAATAATTATGACCATACACATTTTATTCTCTATACTTCTACAAGCTAAAAGGCAGGCTAGGTCTTTATTTCGGTGAAAATCCATTTTAGAATAAGCTACTTTTATTGTAGGTGTACTGGTTCCTACAGTAGGCCGACATTATCCTGCAGTGGCCAGACATAGATTTTAAGTCGAAATAATTGTATTAACATGTCATTATTGTAAATGATCAATCAGACGCTAGCTGTTATTGTAAATACTGGATTGCGTCCAGGAAATCTTTGTGCGTAAGAGAGCTAAACGAGTCAGCTGTACTCTTGAACTGTTTTCCCATTGACGCACGGCACAGTCATGTATTGTATATCATTGGGGCATTGTCTTAATATTGACATATGAGTTTGTGCTCTAACTGTGGATCTGTAATGATCCATCTACAAGTCATCCATAAGCCGCCTTTGATTTTGTGGCACGTTAGATGTACAGTAAACCACACATACAATAGACATTCAGCCTATTTCTTGTATGAGGAACTGCTATGCATACACATACAGAGCAAATATTGTATATGTCAGCGGGTCACACCTTTCCCATCAAGCCCTTTTAGACATAACCGGTGCTGTCGTCACAGGCGCCAAGTGCACTCCATTTGATTTCATGCTTGTATGAACTTGTTTTTCTTCTTCAGTTGCTTGTACCTCTAATCAGATGGTACTGGCATCTGTTCTCACATATTTAATCATCATAGATAGGTACTCATACAGAACGTTTTCAATTTAAACTTTATGATCTGATATTGAATTACAGCATGATAGACAGATTTTCAAAGTTAATTGTGCATAAATGACTGGCTGGAGCAAAATTACCTTTAATCTATTAGCACATTTGGGCACTAGCACATACTTAAGACTTAGCAAGCACGTGACAGCGCTTTCTTTGCTCATACTAACGGCTTTTCCACTGGAAATTATGGTTATTTGAGATTTTACCTTTAGCGATGTTGGTGATGGCTTTATGGTTGACTAAATTTAGCAATAGCCACATCCGTAAATGCATGCTGTCAAGGTTAGTGTCAGCCACTGAAGGACATGAAATGTTTGCTCAATGACCTTTTTGTGTGGCCAGTCCAGGTGCTGTTTTCTCAGAGCGACGATATGTTTGAAAGAAGAGCTCAAGCTGGCTGTGTAGGAGGTAATGAGTGGCTCAAAGGGTTGTTTGTTACTTCAAGGGTTGTTTGTTACATAATTCCTTCTGTAGCAACCTTCTAGAATTTTCTGGGCTCTTCAACAGCTTAATTCAGCATTATTTTTCATTTTAAAATAAAAATAGCTGTTGAGCTTCAGCACAAGCACAGCCGGTGATCTGTTGTGCCAGTATGTTATTCCTGATCCTGACACTGCAGAACTAACTCAAACTGTGTGGCCAGCTGGCGAGGATTTGCCGTGCTATGCTAGTGGCAACCGCTGACTGCCACGCTGCAAATCTCTTATCACTGAAGTCATGGTGATACGAAATTTCCTCTGCACTGATTTATCCAGACAAACATTGGAAAAATCCACTCCTTTTATATAGAGAAATATGCCACAGCAAATCGAAGCAGCTTTTCCATACTTTTTAATCTCATGATCATGTAAATGGATCCGTTTTCACATTGAAAGTAAATCACTTATTAGACCAACCTTAACTTTCCTTGCTAAAGTGGAGGGTTTCAGACCCCCCACTCAGACTCTCAGCCAACCCAGAGACACTTAGAATTTGTCACTATTTACGCACCGTCATGTCATTCCAAACCTGTATAAATTTCTTTCTTATGTTGAACACAAAAGATCATTTGAAGAATTTTGAAGAACCAAACAGTTGATGGCCCCCATTGACTTCCATAGTAGGGAAAGAAATACTATGGAAGTCCATGGGGACCATCAGCTGGTTGATTACCAGCATTCTTCAGGATGAGTAAATTATGACAAAATTGGGTGAACTATTCCTTTAACATACTACATTATATATAACTGGTTGTTAGCAAGTATTTTATTCACCAAAAAAAAAATCACACAAAAACTATGCTCACAAGGCTGCTTTTATTTGACCAAAAAAAAAAAAATGGCTGCAATATAACAAAGAGTGAAAAATTTAAGGGGGTCTGAATACTTTCCGTACCCACTGTATATAACTGGTTGTTAGCAAGTATTTTATTCACCAAAAAAAAAATCACACAAAAACTATGCTCACAAGGCTGCTTTTATTTGACCAAAAAAAAAATAAATTGTAATATGGTGCAATACTGTTTTATAATTTAAAACAATTGTCTTTTTTAAAAAAATGTATTTTCAAATGTAATTTATTGCAGTGATGGCAAAGCTACATTTTCAGCAGCCATGATCACATGATCCTTCAGAAATCATTCCATGCCGATTTGCTGCTCAAGAAACATTTCTTAATTTTTTTTTTAGTGTGGAAAGATGATACATTTTTGTTTTTTCAAAGTTCTTTGATGAATAGGAACTTCAAAAGAACAATTTATTTGAAACATTTTGTAACATTATGAAAGTCTTTTCTGTCACTTTTGATCAGATGACTGGGCCCTTGCTGAACAAATATAAATTTCTTGTAAAATGTTTGTAATTATCAAAATGAATAATAATAATAATAATAATAATAATAATACAAAGCATTTGTGATAAGGTATCAATTTTATTTTCTTCAAACACATCTGTAATTCAACAATCTATACAAAATATCACAAAAAAAGAAGCATAAAAAAAAAGAGAAAACATTGACTGGTTCACAAGCAAGAGGATTCAAAGGTCACCCAGCACTGAATGAACAGAAAACATCCGGCTGTAGGGACCGAGTCAAAACGGTCCTAAGCATCTTCAGGTTTGTCAGCTGGGGGACCACACGGCTGCAGCATCTTCTCCATCAGGTTAAAGCGGACTCGAGCCTTGCTCTCGTTCTCAGTGACAGCGAAGTAATTGAGAAGGTCGAAATGGCCCATGTAGGAGCAGTATGAGTCTCTGTGCTGGTTAACCAGCCATTCCCATTTGCTGGTGTCTGCGTGGCCTGTGCCGATGTACTTCGACTGCAGATGCTCCAGCTGACTGTGGATGTTGTAACGGTCTGTCATCTTCAACTATCTGCGTTTCTGATAAAAAGAAAGAAAAACAATAACTTAAAGCCCTTCTGAGGTATACAGATTAATTGCTATTCCTCATCTTCAACAAATGAGACCTACCATTTCACTAAAGATGTATTTGATGCATTTTTATTAGATTGTGTGTGTGTGTGTGTGTGTGTGTGTGTGTGTGTGTGTGTACACACACACACACACACACACACTTAAAGTGTGTTCTGGAATAATAACACCAGACTGTGTGTTTAAGGAAGAGAAATATTTAAAGTACAGTAAGAAATGGCTTACATCAAGAACAAGTCAACAGTTAATTAGTCTTGTCGTAAAGAAAAACAACAAAACAAAGTCAAACCATCAGCTTGTACTAGGTTGTGGAGATTGAGCATACATTTACTTGTTAAGCTAATTAGTTAAACTAATTCAGCTGATAACTGGTAACATTCTTTCAAATCAAATATTTCTTCAAACCACAATACAGTCATTGGTTATTGTATGCAGATATTATTCGTGTACTTACCTAAAGTAAAACCGCGGTCAAATGTGAGGACAGTAAACGATGTTGTTAGCGTTGTGGCTGTGCGCACGCAGCCTGTAGCCGGAGCGGAAGGAGTTACTCAGATATCTGTCGCTGTGGAAAACATTGGCGTAGACGAGAGATCCGATCGGATGAACTGCAGGCGTGGTAAGTCCTGGGGCCGTATGTATAAAGCCGCTCAGAGTACAGTTTTAGTCTTAAGTGTGTCACAATTCTAAGAATGACGCAATTTTACTCTTATTCCTAGACTTAAGAATAAGATTTTCACTTTCACTTTCAAGAGGGATTCATAAAGGTTCCTAAGTGTCAAGACTAGGTCTCAGCTCCTGAATTATTTAAGAGAGCTGGAGAGGTCTCTTAACCTAGTTAGGAGTAACAATAAACTGAACTGGATTAAAACGTATTTAGCACAGCCTAACTCAATGTGGTTTCATATACCAAAGTGTGTATTCAAGAAAGTTGGAGGGTTAGAGTTTTTGCTAAAATGTGATTTTGAGGTTTCCAAATTGCCAATTAAGCTTTCAAAATTCCACAAACAGATTCTGTATTATTGGAAAATGATATTCACCCCAAATTTTACACCGCATGGTTCTACATTGTGGAATAACAGAACCTTTACAATAAGGAGAAAGACAGTATTCAAACAAGAGTGGTATGAAAAAATGTTTTATATGTTGTAGATCTTTTAGATGTAACTGGTCAAATTATTCAACATAATTCATTCATGGAGAAGTTTGAGATAAAATGTTCCTTTAGAGAATTTAATACTTTGTGTAAAGCCATCCCTCTTGCTTTAAAACAATTAATACAAAACACTCTTACTTATTCAAATGTATCCGTTAAATTGCCTGAGTTAAAGATTGGAGAAGTATATATTGGGGACAAAAAATGTAAGAACAAAGTAATAGGGAATGTGTTCAAATGTAAATTATTTGCAGACTTCAATACACCTTCAAAATGAAAACAATTTGAAAATAAAATATTAAAAAACAAATTCTGTAATTATCTTAAATGGCCAATTCTACCGAAAATGAAGGATATTCAGTTTAGGATTATTAATAATGTGTATCCAGCTGCTGAAATTTTACGGAAAAGATTCCGTTTTGAAGTAGATCCTTGTGTTTTTTGTTTAGAAGAGCCTGAAACCATTGAACATTAATTTTTTTCTTGTCCAGTCACATTGAAGTTCTGGCTTTAATGAATTTGTTTCAGGTTTTGGTTTTTGGTTGTGCAGATGGTCTTTCGAAAAACATGTCATTGATGTTAAACATTATTATTACAATGGGTAAATATCATATACACAAAAGTAAGTGGAATAACAGTAAACCCTCTTTAAATTGCTTTAAAAATGAATGTAAAAAATACTTAGAATCTTTAAAATACTTATCCAAAGATAATCAATCCCTTGGGGAATTGTATATAACCATGTATGAGTCTCTGTCCTTTTAAGACTGGTACGATTTTGAACCCTTTATTTTATTTATTTATTTATTTTTCCTCCTTGAAACCCCCTCAAATGTTTAAAGAATGTTTGTTTTGTTTATTGTATGTAGAGATATATATATATATATATACATACACACATTGACATTTATATATGATGGAGATGTGATTGGTAAAGTGTATGATGATATGGAGTTGATAAAATGATACAAACATGTTTGTCAAGTTAGTCAAATTTTTTATTGTTGTAACGGACAAAGTAAGAAATGTAATCACTTCTTCCACTCTACAAGTCAATGCTCTAACTGCAGAAATGAAAGTAGTAATTACATGTTTTGGCTTGAAAATTGCAGCAATGCACCGGTGATGACACAGTAAGCAGGGTCTTAAATATTGTGGCACTAACCCCACCAAACACAACAGTGGCCAAAAGGGATGTGTGGAGGGGTTTTTTTAATGACTCCACATTTCACTTAAACCATCAAAATATGAATGGGGAAGAAGATGAAAGAAAAAAACACTGACCGGTGTTGCCAACTGCTTTCAATTGAAAGTTGATGACATCATAAATGTGAGTTCACTGATCTATATAAATATAAATATAGATCAGTGGGAGAGTGATTGGGAGGGGTGAGGAAGTCACTAAATCCAGTGACAAAATCACTAATTGGCAACATTGTGATGTCACATTGACTACAACATAAGTTATTCATATTTCATTGGTCCTCTTGTTATTGCATATGTTCATAATTTCTTTGTATGACAGCATGGCAAAAAATGATGACCGCACAATTTGAAATGTTTCATTGCATTATTATCACAAATAAAACAACTGACTCTAAGCAACTATGCAATATGCTTACAAAATCTTGCACCTTTTTTTTTTAAATTAGGGGTGGTCAAATTTGAAGATGTCAAACATCACTTTTGACCACTACTATATTGCAGTTCGTTGACTTTCCTACTAACCGCCAAACCATGATCCAAAAAAGCCACTTTTATGAGGATTGTGGGCTTTCCTGGAGTTGTTGGAGCCATTGATGGAACTCATGTTCACATCATTGCTCCAACTGTAAATGAGCAGACATACCAATAGAAAATAAAGCATCAGTAATAATTAGTGATAATTTTGCACAATGCAAAGCATTAAAAAAAAAAAATTTTAAATATGAAAATATTTCAGTGTCTTAATGAAATGATTTCATTGCATTTACATTAAATGATTGGTTTTGTGTTGCTGTGACTTCATATGAGCACTATTGGCTATTTCAGAGGTCGAGGTCGGCCATTTTGGGTTGACATCATTGTAGTGCTTAGTTCACAACACTTAAGTGTCACCTCAGTCAACACTTAAGAATCAGTCTTAGACTTTACTGAAAGTTGCTTTTAGCTTCTTTATAAAAGTCTCCTACTCTTAGAAAAGTCCTACTTTTTACTAAGAATGTTTTGACACTGAAATCAAAGCTTAAAAGGGGTTTATTATTGTGCTATCGACTGGCTGATTATCCACCTTATTACACAGCTCCATGAACATGAAATATTGATTTGAGTTTATAATATTATAAAATATTTTTTTATAGGGTTAAAGGGGGGCGTGACCAAAAACCTTTGAGAACCACTGCACTATAGGAAAAAAAGTGAAGGGAAAACAGTCCGCCTAGCAGCAACCGGATGAACGTTACATTTACATTTACTTTTAGTCATTTAGCAGACACTTTTATCCAAAGCGACTTACAAATGAGGACAAACATTACATATACAACCATAGAAAATTAATCTATAGCCTACATTAATTTCAGTTCAGGTTTCTTTTAATAAAACTGGACTTCTGAGCTTCTAGCCATTTGACAAAGGTTGTATGCTCATCGTATAGCCTTTAGCCTATATTAAAATTAATACCGTCCTCCCTGCCAACTTTTATTACAGTCAGTAGTTGTAGTAACCATTTTAGTCAAGACAGCCAATGAGCTATTTTAACTGATCTTGATTATATGAAAAGTCCTCAGCATGATACAAGAAACATAAAAGTAACACAGGTATGTTGCCATATGTTTTTTTTTATGTTCCCCATAGGGATCTTAAAGAGTAAAGATTTTTGTTAAAGAGTTATACGCCATGAACCAAACTAACCAACAATGAGGTGTATCTCAACATTACAAATTTGATTTGAAGCAAAAATTAATTTAAAATTAGACAAAATATAAAGGCACAAAACTGTGTACTTAATGGCTTTAATGAGAGAAAGAACTACAATCCCTTCTAGAAACCAGGGCCGTATTCACAAAACATCTTAAGGCTAAAAGTAGCTCATAACTTGTCAATTTAGGAGAAAATCGTGGGCGTGTCAGTCTTAAATTTTTGCTCTAAGAGTATTTCACAAAGAATTTTAGCACTAAAACTAGCTCCTAAATCTGTGAAACGTTAGGAGTAGTGAAGAGGACTCTTAAGTCATTAAGACCGAACCACAACTATACTAAAATGGCTATTGCCGGCAATCTGCCTTGGAATGTAAACATTTTAGAAACATTTGACGATAATGGGCTTTTAAAAAGGTATATCGTCTTAATCGCGGGGGTATTATGACAGTTGTAGAACTAGTCTGGGACAAATTTCCTTTGATTACCCTATATCCTTGCTTTCATTATCCAGTTGGGCAAGAAGTAACAGGTCTTCTTGCGTCTAGTTTGGTTTTCTTTTACGTTTGCATGTCTTACTATCAGCCATGATTATTCCACTCTGTTAATTAAAAGGCTGTTTATATGCATATTCACTAATTGTTTACAAGAAGCATACATGTAAGAGGCTGACAATTAGCTAAACATATACTTGTTTAATTAGTGACTCTTAGCCTGCATTTTAAAATATTTATTTGAATGTGGCAATTAACATTTTTATTTTTAAACCTTTATTTGAATATGGCAACATAAAATTGTGCTGTACAATATTTCTATGTATAAATCTCTGACAGAGACAATCAGCCAATCACTGTGTGCATAGTTAGTAAGCATGCAGACATCATCCATAGCAACGAGGCCAACAGTTGGGTTAGTCCATATTTGACCCAACATTGGGTTGAAACAACCCAGCATTTTTTAGAGTGTAAAAAACATGTATGTGTCATACATCAAAAATGCAATCAGACTCTGGGTTTTGTTTTGTCTCATTAATGTAATTTAGATGCAATCTCACTTCTGTTATCCATATTTTGTTCTTAATATCAACAATCTATCATTAATGGAGTTTGCCATCTTCTACAGCTGACATCGGTGATCAAACCCTTTTCATTCTGACTAGCAGTAAAACAGGCTTTTTTTGTATCCACACATTAACATTGCTGTTAATTTTTTTCCAAATGTCACTTGTGAAAGCATGTGGCAAGAGGGAACCAGAACTTGTCTAATGTATTTTTCTGGATTATATAGCATATTATAAGAGTGCTTCTGTGTGCAAATATCTGATAAGCATATTTTAAAAGCACCTTTATCTACATTCTAAATTATAAACATCTTAAAGAGTTTCTAAATGTCTAAATTTAACATTTGACAGGAAATATATTAGGGACATATTGAGCATCAGTAAAGCACCTAAAAAGACATGCCATCAGCGATATTTGTGCTTTCTCATATACAACCACGTGCATCATCTACTATAAAAACACTTGAGCTCTGTGTTGTTGATCACAGTAATGATTTTCTTATTGAATCACCA